CAAGTGCTCTGCCCCTGAGCCCCGCCCAGCCCCAGAGTTGAGTTTCTCCGACAGGAGATGGTGCAGGTTGCCGACCTCTTGTTGCCCGAGCTTCTGTTTGCTTCTAAAGCCATCTGTCCTTTTCGGGTGAGCTGTTGCATTTTTATGGGGAGGGAGTATTTTGAGGCAATCTTTCTTTGGGGGGGCGGGAATGGGGATGGGACCCAGGTGCTCTTAACCACTGAGCCACATCCCCAGCCCTTTTTATATTTTATTTAGAGACTGGGTCTCAATGAGTTGCTTAGGGCCTAAGAGGCTGGCTTTGAACTCCTGATCCTCCTGTCTCAGCCTCCCAAGTTGCTGGGATTATAGGCATGTGACACTGCACCTGGTTTATGATTATTTCTCTCCAAAGAATTTGGGAGGAGGCTGTGGTGCAGCTCAGTGGTAGAGTGCAGGTGTAGCATGGTTGAAACCCTGGTTTCAATCCCCAGCGCATGTGCACACACACACACAATTTACTGATTATGCTCTGCTGTGTAGCTGGGTGGACTGGTACCCCCACCTCAGCATTGTACCAAGTGCCCTGCAAGGGGTCCTCTAGCAACCGGAGAATCTGGGGGGTCCTTCTCAACAGGATGAGCACTGCTACCCTAAATTTTGCAAAGTTTTAAGGATATCAGACCGTGGGCTCACACCCCATCCAGGAGCCCAAACCCCATGGGCTCAGCTCCCATTATAAAAGCCTCCTCTGTTCACTTAAGCATGTTAGTTTAACCAGCCAACATATGTTGGGGACTAAATGGGAAAGATTTGGATGGGGGGTTGGGGGTCCTGGGGCAAGTGCCTGTTTCTTGAACTACTCCAGAGGCTGAGGCAGGAGGTCATTTGAACCCAGGCATTAAAGACCAGCCAGGCAAGGTTACAAGACACCATATTAAAAAACAGAAACTAAAAACAACTTTGGCCAGGTACAGTGATGCACATCTGTAATCCAGCACCTTGGGAGGCCGGGGAGGGAGGACTGCAAATTCAAAGCCAGCCTCAGCCACTTAGCAAGATGCTGTTTAAAAAAAATAAAATAAAACAGGGGCGGTGCTGGGGATGTGGTTCAGTGGTTAAAAGTGTTCCTGGGTTCAATCCCCCATACCAAAAAGAAATAAAATTTTTTAAAAATTGGAGGAACACACTTGGAATGAAGTTGTAGAACATGCTAGGAAACTAATCCTAATCACATTAAAACAAAAAAAATTGTGGGAACAAGAGACAAGTCGTCTTAAGTTTGAATTCTGGCTCTGCCAGTCCCTGGCTGTGTGGTCTTAGGGAAGTGAGTTTCCATCTCTGAGCTTCCCTGTTCTCCCCTATGAGATGGAAAGGCTGCAGCAGCACCAAACACAAACAGCAGCACTGGCTACAGGGCTCCCATCCTGACTCCTGGAACTCGGGCCTTGACTTTATACGGGGGGAAAGGTCTGTGAGATTAGTCAGGGATTCTGAGGACCTGAGTCCAACGCTGTCACAAGTGTCTTCAGGAGAGAGTGAGATCACCTCCACAGGGCCACGCCTGTCATCCCAGCCACTTAGGAGGCTGAGGCAGGAGAACGGCAAGTTCCAGGGTAGCTTGGGCGACTTAGTGAGACCCTGTCACAGAATAAAAGGGCAAGGGGTGCAGCCCAGTGGTAGAGCACCCCTGGGTTCCATTCCCAATACTAAAACAGCAAACAAATGGACAAAAAAAAGAAAATCTAAGATCACTTATTTTTCCTAAATTGATTTACCCAGGCATGGTGGTATAGTGAGTCGGGAGGCTGAGGCAGGAGGATGAAAATCCACGACTTTCCTCAGCAACTTAGGGACCCTGTCTCAAAGGGCTGGGGAGTGGCTCAGTGGCTAGGCACCTCTGGAGTCAATCCCTGGTACTTTAACATTTTCACCTATTCGTAGCTTCTTTATGGACTCTGTGGAGTTTTCTATGTCCAAGATCACGTCACCTATGGAAAAGGACAGTTTTTCCGCTTCCCTTCCAGCGACATGCTTTACCATCCTTGCCTTCCTGCACTGCCACAAGCTCCGGGGACACGTCCATTCCACCTGGAGATGGTCTGCTTCCCATCATCGTTCCTCATGTGAGTGGCAGGGTTTAAAGCTGCCCATTTTCAGGCTGGGGAAGTCACCCTGTTCCACCTCCCATGGCAGCCAAGACATGCTGGCATTAATTTTGGTGGGTTGTCATGGAAACAATGGTGATGCAGCTTGGAACAGCTTGGTCACCCCAGTCCCGCGTTGGGTACTCTGGAACCTTTTGCTTCCTACTTGTGGATAAGGACTGATAAGTGCTTACATGGCAGCAAAATGAGGAAGGTGCCATGGGACGATGAACAGGAAGAGCCCAGGTCGGGTACTTCTGAAAGGTCAGCGCGTTACCAGCTAACCTGGGAGAGTTTGATAAATGAAAAGGGCTGGGTGTGGCTCAGTGGTAGTGCACTTCCTAGCACGGGCAAGGCCCTGGGTTCCATCCACAACTTCAAACATAAACAAATACATAAATTTAATTAAATAAAAAGAAAAGACAACCACAGAATTTATCAACAAATTCCTCATGGCCTCCAGGCAAGCCATCTGTATCAGTCCATTTTTTGTTACTATAACAAAATAACTGAGGTGAGGGAACTTCTAAACAGCATCCTGTGGGACCTGGCCAGGACCCCCAGGTCACCTCAGGGCAGGACTGCATGTGAATGGAGAGTGACTTAGTGGGGAGGGAACCTAGGGCCTCCACACACACTAGGCAAGTCCTCCACCATGGGCTACAGCCCAGCCCTCCTCCCTAACTGCCCAGGCTGGTGTTGCTCTTCTGTAACAACTGCCCTCACAAAAACTAACTGGGGTCCAGAGGAACCTCCTTGATCCCTCCCACCACGCAGCACCCCCAGTGACATAAGGACTCCCTGCCACAGCCCACCTCTTGAAGCATCCACCACCTCAAGGCTGCCACACTGGAAGGAGCCAGTCCAGGGCGAGCCCTCATGGCCCTCAACCCTGGCACTCAGGTGGGCTCCCTGGTTTGCCAGCCTCTCCTGTCTACCTCTGATCAAGCCTGACCCCCACACAGCCTCCACCAAGACCTCAAACCCGGCAGTACCTTCCTGTGCCCAGTGTGGGCATGCTTCTCCTTCTGGGGAGGTTTTTTTTGGCGGGGGAGGGGGTTACTGGGATTGAACCCAGTGGTGCTTTACCACTGAGCTACATCCCATCCCTTTTTATTTTGAAACAGGATCTTGCTCAGTTGCCCAGGATGGCTTCAAACTTGCCATCCTCCTGCACAGCCTCCCAAGTTGCTGGGATGACAGGTATGTGCCACTGGGCTTGTCCACAGACAGCTTCTGATTCAGGGCAGGAACACCCCTCACCGACAGGAAGACCAGGACACAAGGATCATGAGGCTATCTTGGAGGTCGGCCGCCACATGTTGCAAAAGGGCCCAGACCTAGGCCTCCCGAGGTGGGCCATATTAAGGGCGGGGGCTGCAGCTTGCGGTACAGCGCTGGCCAAGTGCCAGCCGGGATTCCATCCCCAGCACCACGGGAACGAGTAAGCACTTCCACCACGGACAAGGGTAGAGAATGTAGCTAGCTCGGTGGCAGTGCTCACCACCGGGTTCCGTAGCCAGCACTAAAACCAAACCCCAAACACAAAAGGCCACCCCCACCCCGCTGCCAAGCACCCCGAGGCGGTTCCCAGGGCACACTACGGAGAAGCCCCGCGCCCCGCGCTTCCTTGCTCCAGTCGGAGGCGACTTCTCTCCGGGACGCACTTGGGCAGCACGTCCTGCCTCCCCCCCCCCCATCCCCGCCGGTGGTTTCCGCTCGAGGCGTCCGGGCGCGGAGCCCCAGCCGCGCGCGCCCGCCCCGCCAGCCCCAGGGCAGCTGGACACCTCGGGTGCCCCAACTGGGACGCTCTCGGCTACTTTTTGACCTTTGACCCCTCCTCGAAGAGGAACTCGGGGGACGGGCCTGGGAGGCGTCCCCACCTCACTCTCGGGACTCCAGTGCCACAGTCCCCGCCACGACCCCGCGACGGTTCCGCCAAGGTCGTTGGAGCCCGAGACCCCCAACGGCAGGACCAACCCCTCCGAGGTCACAGCCGCCACCTCGCCCAACCCATACCCACTTCCCGCTCCACCTTTCGCATGACCGGCGCCTCCGTCGGCCAATGAACGAGCCGCCTCCGCCCTCGGGCGGAGCAGAGCGCCGGCCAATCCCTGCTCATTTCCCCGCCCAGATCCAAACGGTCCAATCGGCCAAGATCGAGGGGGCTGGCCTAGGAGGCGGGGCCGGCCGCGGCTGCCAACGGGCGTGCACGTCGATGCCGCGAGGGGGCGTGTCTCGCGGCGGGGCGTGCGGCGGCGGCGCGGCGCAGGGCGGTAAACAAGATGGCGGCGGCGTGTCGGGCGCGGAAGGGGGAGGCGGCCCGGGGCGCCCGCGAGTGAGGCGCGGGCCGTGAGGGCGGTGCCGGCGGCCCCGCGGGTGGCCTTGCATGGGCTGGGCCCCCCTCGCCGCCCCGCCTCCTACTGTCGCGCGGCGGCCGCGGCGAGGGGGACGCGTCGCCCAGGCCTTGTCAGCCTCGGAAAGCCCCCGACCCGGAGCCTGCGGCCTGCGCCGCCCCGGCCGCCCGGAGCCCGCAGGCCGGACGCCCAGCGCGCGGCGGGGAGCGCGGTCGCGCCGCTGTCGGAGGGAGGGCGCCGCGAGGACGTCCGCGCGGGCCGGGCATGGACGGCGCGGACGGGCCCCGGCGCGGCCGCCTCGGCGCCTGACCGCGGGCCGGAGCGCCTGGACGATGACCTAGCGCCCCGCACCGGCCCGCCTCGCCAGGGCCCGCGGACCGCCGCCTCGCCCCGCCGCCCGCCCTCGGGCCCGCGGGCGCAGCGCGGACTGACCAGTGGACAGCCGCCCCGACGCAAGAAGAGCTCCCGTGGACTGTGGTGGGGGTGGGGGGTGGGGGGCTTCGTTGCCTTTTCCTTTTTTTGTTAAACCGTTTGGAGGAGGGAAGTGGGGGTCGGAGAAGAGCCGCCCACCGAGGGGACAAGGGGGACCAGGGCTCCCCGGCGCCGGGTCCAGGATGGACGTGGCGGACCCGCAGCAGCTGGGCATGTTCACGGAGGGCGAGCTGATGTCCGTGGGCATGGACACCTTCATCCACCGCATCGACTCCACGGAGGTCATCTACCAGCCCCGCCGCAAGCGGGCCAAACTCATCGGCAAGTACCTGATGGGGGACTTGCTGGGGGAGGGCTCCTACGGCAAGGTGAAGGAGGTGCTGGACTCGGAGACGCTGTGCCGGAGGGCCGTCAAGATCCTCAAGAAGAAGAAGTTGCGGCGGATCCCCAACGGGGAGGCCAACGTGAAGAAGTAAGTGCGGCGTCGGGATCCTGCCCTCCGCGCTCCTCCCTCGGTTCCTTCCTTCCTTCCCTCCTTCCTCTCTCCCTCCTCCTGGTCCTTCCTTCTCTCCTCCCTCCTTTTCTCTTAAAGACCCGCGCTGCTAACAAGGATATGCCAGCACCCTATCCTCCCAGCGTAGGACAGTGTGGCTGGGAGCCCGCGGGAGGACCTTCCCTAAGTCAGAGTGGGTCCTGGAGACGGGCATGAGTTCCTGGGGCCCTCTAGGAGGGCTCCTAACACGCCCGGTAGTCAGCCTCTTTGGGAAGGGAGCTTGCCTCTCTCCTTTCCCCAATGCCCAGCCCTGTAGCAGTCCAGAGAACACAGGCACCCCGTGGAACCAGCTTGTGTTTATTTGGGCCCCGTGAGTTTGTGTGCTTGCCGCCAGCAGGTTTTCTGCGCAGTGTGTGGTCGTTACCAGGGCCAGGCTAAATGTGATTTGTTTATCCTGTCGGAGGGGAACCCTGTGGTTGCCAAAAATAATTGTTTGCACCAGCTTATCGGTCAGCGGGAGGGGAACCTAGCCCTTGTTGTTTGCCCAGGATGTGAGGCTGCAAGCATGCTGACTCTGAGCTCTGACCACCGACCTGAGCACTGGACCCTGAGCAGTGGTGGGCTTTCTGTTGTACTTTTAAACAGATTCCACTAGGTGCTCAGCTGTCCCAGGCCTCCCTGTCAGGGACTATGAAGAAGCAGCTCCTCCCCAGGGCTGCCACTGCTCCCCCTAGCTGGGGGTGGCCTCCTTATCTCTACCAAACACTGCTCCTCCTCCCCATCCTCTTAACTTCAGAACTACCCCCCCCCCACCAGCCCCCATTTCTAAGAAGGGGCCTTATCTGCTGGGCTGGGCTGCAGAGCTGGCAGGGACACCGTACATGGTGGATGGTGACCTTGGACAGCAGTCCTGGGGAAGGCTGATCCCTGCTTGTGATCACGTCTTTGTCCCCATCATGTCATGGGGGGGTGCCCAGCTCGGCTCTCACTCACTTTAACAGCCTTGTAGGCTGAAGATGGCAGTTGTGACCCACTGGAGAGGTGGGTGTTTTCCACTAGGCTTTTTTAAAGCATGTGGACACCAAGAGATGACACCAGGTGTCCTGGGGTTGAGTCAGGTCATTTGTCTGTAAGGTGTCTTTGGGGTGAAGAGGGTCTGAGGGATCAGGAGAGACACATCTGGTGCTCTTTCCAGGGGCCAGTGATGCCCTTCTCCCGGGAGTTTGAGACCTGAGCTTAAATGCTGCCATTGTTCCATTAAACCAGAAGCCTGGGAGTGTGGAGTGGGTCCATGGACTGCCAGTCTGTCCTTGTTCTGGGAAGCCAAGGAGGTGCCAGTGTGGGCCATTAGCTGGCTTCACCTGTCTGGGGAGTGTGGCACTGAGGGCTGGGGCCTCTGCACCTTGGAACTCCAGGAAACTGCCTGAGAGCACTTGTCCCAGGGCCTGATACCTGTTAGCTGCAGGGGCCTGGGCCCAAGCCTGGCCCCCTCCCCCTAATGGGAATTGTGTGCTGCCCTCTGGTCCTGCCTGTGTGGGGAGTGCCAGAGCGCCCCAGAGCACGCTGCACGCCACATGCCACACGCGTACCTTTCACTGTGCCATTTCTGCCTCTCCAGAGCCACCACGCAGGAGTGGGACTGATGTCGTGGGAGACAAAGGGCTCCCAGAAAGTTCCCTCTAGGTGTGCCCAGTGTACCCTTCACTGCTCAGGGGTGGGCCCTTCTGGCCGTGTGTTGGTGTGCTCGGGAGGAAGCCATCTGTGCGTTTCTGGGTCTTCGGGTATATGCCTGGCTGGTGGCAGTAGTTTTCAGTGGGTCAGTGGGCCACGCCCTCAGCACTGGAAGTAACTTGTTGGGTGGGTAAGGGCCAGGAGGTTCTGCCTGCAGCAGACCAAGGATTGATGTGTCCAGGTGTGCAGTGTTGAGCAGTCACAGGCAAGGTCAGTTAGAGGGCTGTGAGTGTGGAGTGGGCCTAAGGACTGCCAGTCTGTCCTTGCATACAGTGGCGTGGGGAGAAGACCTGGACCATACGTGTCTGAGCCCCTGGTTTCTTGACTGGCCACTGAAGGTCCAGAAAACATGAGCACCCAGAGCCATGGGGAAGAGCCTGAGGATGGCAGCGGAGGTGGCTGTTTGTGGGAAGAACAGGAGAGGGAACTGAGGCTGGGCTCTCACTGAGGTCCCCCACACATGGCCCCTGACCCAGCTAGTCTCACAGCTGTAGACCCCAGCCTGGTGATGAGCTACTATCAGCCTGGATGTGGAGGTATCCTGGTGGGGGCGCCCTTGGAATGCAGTGAAGGCCCTGTCTGTCCTGTCCTGGCCACCCCCTCACACACACTGGCCATGGACATCTGGCTTTAGAGGCTGGGTTTGCAACTGAGGCAGAAACTGCTGTGCCTCCTGACTGCAGCCCCATCAGAGCCACCCTGCTCTGGGAGCCAAGAGTGCAAGTAGGGCCTGCTCTGCTCAGAGCTCTGGGAGGGAGAAGGACTGTCCTCTAGTCAGTGCTGTACTCCAGCCCACCACACCGCCAGCTGGCTGCAGGGAAAAAGGCCCCTTTGTCTGCAGGAAGCTCAATCAACTCTACTCAGATTGTCTCTCTCATGATGAAGTGTTCAGAACCTCACAGACATGCCTGGAAGTCCTGTCCCCCAGTTTGTGTTGAAAACTTTTTCTTAGCGTACGATGTTGTGGATCTTTGCCAAGGTGGTGGTCACGTAGATGGATGGAACTGGTCGGGTAGCCTGCCTTGCCTTCCCTCTTCCCTTCCCTGGAACCTGTGCTTGGTCCACTCTCTCTGTGAGAACTACTATGCCAAAGTAGCAGAGTTTCAGAAAGTTTTAAAAGACTATTAAAAACCGGGGCACCTGGCTTTTAATCATGTTTTACCTGTTTGTTGTTTTGCTCCGATGCTGGGGGTGCAGCCAGGGACCCATGCATGCCAGGCAAGCTCACCCCACACCATGTCTAGCCACAAGCAAGTTTTGATGAAAGGTAAAATTCTCCTGAGGATCATTTTAATACATTGTGTCCACTTGCTTTCACAGTGGGTGGTGGACTCCCACAGGGGGTCACACAAGGACTGGGCAAGGACCCATGCAGTCTTCTCTCTAGGGGCGAGGGGCTCTGTGCAGGCAAAGACCACAATGAGTAGGTAATTCCTCCTTTTGTACACGAAATGTGCTGCCTTTTCTGGATGATAGTAGAGACCTCCAGTTTTGTGGGATGTGAGATAGCTTCTGAACCTCACCATCCCAATGCAGGGGCAGCTAGGGACAAGGCAGGCCATGGCCCCACACCACTTCACTTGTGGACAGTGAGATTACAGTTTTGTTTCATGTGATGTTGACCTGTGACACAGAGGGTAATTCTGTATGTTTCCCCCAAACTATTTTTTGAGATTGTTTTTTTTCTGCTTTGTCCATGCTGACCCCAAAGGTCCCCGGCTCATGAAGTGGTCCCTCCCACTTCAGCCTCTCAAGTAGCTGGAACTACTCTGCGCCTGGCTCCCCTTCACCGTCTAGAGACCTGTAAAAGTGACTACCACAGCTGTGGTGCAGAGGCAGGCAGTGCTGCTCGACGCCTGCCCTCTAGCCCAGCAGACTCCTTTGTCTGCAGGTCTTGGTTGGCTGTGTGGCACCAGCATCCACTGGCCTTTGCTCCTGATGTTCCAGTGCCATTGCATAGCCCAGGCTGGGTTCCACCAGTTACACCTTACAAGAGGCACCAAGGTCTGCGGGCCTTACCACCAGGGGTGGGACTCGGAGCCAGAGGAAGCATGTATTTAATGAGCTGCTATTGACACCTCTTTGAGGCCTGGTCCCCCAGCCTGCCAGTGTGGTTGGTCACACTGCAGTGTTGCTCCGACCACCTGTCTGGGGCAAGGGAGCATCTGTAGTGTGGAGTCCTGTTTCTGTGGGACACAGTTGGGCCGGGGTGGGGAGTGGGGTGAGGGGCACACCATGTGCTGCTGTTCCTGCTTCAGGCTGTAAGTGATTGGCAGGAGCACGTTATCCCAAAGCACCTGTTGCCACTGCTGGAGCCCTGGGGGTGGGGGTAGTGGCTGGCCTCTCCCCAGGGCCAACTGAAAATGCATGTGGGGGGATTTGAGTGCCTGACCTCCAGGGGCACGGCCCTCCCCTGAGGTTGGCTGGTGGATACTTGGATCTAGATGGTAAATAGCTAGGATTTTAGCAAGTTGGGAATCAGAGCCTTGGGCTTTGTGGGTTTTCATTCCCACTTCTACCAGAACATTTGGAATGGACTTTATGAGGCTCTGGAGTCTATGGAAGCTTGTGTCCCCACTGCCCTGTATTGGGAAGAGTGCCACTGCAATGCCCAGGTCAGCTGGCACCAGAGGGCACAGGGCTTCTGTACCTTCATGTGCCCCCATAGGCTTCTGCTTGATTTCTTCCCTACCAAGGGTGCCTCTGGAGTGAGATGGAAACTAGGCCGGTCTGTACGGCTGTCGTACAGCTAGCGGAGGAAATGGGTTAATTGCCTGGGGGTCAGGTTGTGCCCTTAGCCATGTGGGGTGTGCAGTGGATTGGGCACCTATGCCAGGCTGTGGCAGGTGTGAAAGGCGTGGAATGCTGAGTCCTTGTCGTGCAGCCTGGAGTGCCCACTGGAGGTACGTCTGGGAATCCCAGCTTCAACTACTAGGAACCCAGTCCACCATATCCCTTGAATTCAATGGTCTTTCCTTCTTTCTTTCCTTCCTTCCTTCCTTCCTTCCTCTCTCTCTCTCTCTCTCTCTCTCTCTCTCTCTCTCTCTCTCTCTCTTTCTTTCCCTTATTTATTTTTATGTGGTGCTGAGGATTGAACCCAGGGTCTTGCACGTGCGAGGCAAGTGTTCTACCGCTGAGCCACCACCCCAGCCCCAGGACTTTCTTTTTTTAAACAGCTTTTTATTTATTTATTTTGGTACTGGGGATTGAACTCAGGGGCACTTGGCCACTGAGCCACACCCCAGTCC